CTGCCCTGAAAAGACGCTGCCGCCGAAGGCTTCCGGCACCCAACGGAGTCCCGCGTCCTCCCCCCCCACTCACAGCTGTGCCCCCTCCCCTTTAAGAGGTTCCCTTCCCCCCCCCCTTTTACCTGCCGGGGTGGCTCCGAAGATTCTCACCACAGGCACCTTCTTGACGGGAGCCTCCCTGAAGTGGGACTGGCAAGGGTCCAGGCCGGGGAGAGGGCTGCTCAGGTAGTAATCGGCGGTCACGACCCTCACCGAGAACATGTTCGCCGCGGAGCGCGACCGCTGGGCGCACCCCGAGGTTGCGGGGGTCTCTCCCTCGCCCGTCATTAAACCTCTTTCCGCCTCCTCAGCCTGCTGACAGCAACAGCAGCAGTGGCGGCAGCGGTGGTGGTGGTTGCGGCGCCTGCCACCCCGCCGCCGGGCCGCCGCCGAAGCAGCCCAAGCGCAGCCCCCGCCTTCTTCCCTCCCTCGCCGGTCGCGCGCTTTTGCTCCTGCGCATGGACGAGCAGATGGGTGGGCGAGAGGGAGGGGGGAAGAGAAGGCGCCGCGCGCACCCGCGAGCTGAGAAGCGGCGGCGAGGCCTCTTTAGAACCCAGCGAATAGTATGCGCCTCAAGCTGAATTTAAAAAAAAAAAAAACCAGCCTCGCCGTGGAGCGCGCGAACACCTTAACGGTATTTTCTGGACTGCAGCTGTTGTTGCCATGATGATGACGTCACGGACGAAACCACCAACTTCGCGGGTGAGGGTTGGGAACGGCGTCGGGTTGAGAAGAGCCGGCTGCTTCGTCCCCCCCTTCCGTTTCAGCGCGCGCACGCTTTTCTTAGATATACAGTACATATGTCTGCGTACCGTATCTTTCTCTGTACAGTACTGTATGTTACTCAAGACAGCGGTGGTATCGATAGCTAGGCTTTCGATCTCTCCGGTCTGGGAAAAAGGTTGAACTTCGAGTAGCGGATGGGTGGGAGGGTAAGAACGGCTTTGGCTCCATATTTAGCTGCCATTTCGGAAACAAGGCGTCTAGCGCAAAGTAGAGGGGGGGAGGGGAGAGGTGATTATGAGGAAAAGTCACAGCGCTAAAATTTAGGAGACGCATCAGTGTGTGGGAGAAGGGGGAGGATGGGTTGAGGCTCCTCCGAAGGTAAGGTTTCCCCTGCGCGTGCGCCTTCCTCTTTCCCAGAGGGTGCGGGGAGGAAGGCTGCAGAAAAAGCTGAATGGAGAACTCGGGGCTCAGACGGGCGACGGGCGGTGAGGCGCGCCGCGTCCTATTGGTGGGAAAGGCTCTTTGGCACGCGCGCGCGCGCGCTAGGGCGGGGGTGGGGAGACCGTTGGGGAGCTCCTGGCGGCGGCGGCGGCTGAGGAAGGTCTCGGAGATGAATCTCCGTCTGGAGCCTTCGTGCTGCCGACAGAGTCTGTCTCCTCTGACACGTACTGCGGTTTTTGGGGACACCTCGGCCATGGTTGCCGCGAGGCGTCTGAAATCTTAGTAGATGGCGGTGTGTGGAAATCCTCAGATGTTTCCAATCTCACCGGCATTTTTCTATTTGCCTGACAAGGTTATTATGTGCCTCTGTCGGGATAGGTACATTTATGCGACCATCAGCCGTAACCGACTGTAGCACGAACAATAACTATCCTCGCCGACTCCCCAGGCCCTTTGTCGCTGGACTGCTCAGTACAGCCTCGTGTCGCCTCTAGACTAAATAGATCTGTTTGATTTCACTTTCAGAGTAGCCATAGCCGCCTCCCAGTTCTTAGTCCTACAGTACCTGCCCATTCCCATCTAATATCTTACCCAGCGAAGCTTTATCTGACAGTTAGCCCTAACCTTTCACATTTCTGACACTTGTAATTGGTTGTTCGCTTCTTGAGGGGTGATTGGCTGTGATGTACCTTAACAGGAACTGCCCAAGAAACAGCTGTTGAGAAAGGACAAATTTTTTGGCTTTGTTTTATTTCATAGCAAAGCAAGCAAAAGCATTCTTAGTTGAGGAGCTCTGACACTGAAACTCTTCACAGTATATTGTATTGCTAAATAGACTGAATTGTCATGATTTGGGGGAAAAAAGTTTTTCTGTGAGTGGTTATGGCCACATAGAGGTGTGGTGCATATGTGTAGTTAGCTTCCCTTAATTGTATACTTTCACATCCATGCAGAAGCCATATACTGATTTTCAAGGGAAAAAATGATTTAGATAATTTTTATCAGGGGATACCTATTTGGGGCGTCAGGTGGTAAGTTTGCAACCTTTGGTATACAAACTTGTGCAGTGCCAATAAACTACAGAGCCTACCAAGGTTCCCTCTAAAATGCACAACTCTGCCCCCCTCCGCCCAGCTGTCCTCCTCTTCAAGCATACCCTTTGATTCTGGCTGTGACTGAATCCTGTGTACCCCCCAGGTAGAGTCATGAGTTCATGAGAGACTGATCCCGCCCAGTGGGGCTGAAAATTAGAGGATATGTTGGACCCTACTATAGCTGGATTGCATTTGTACAGAGATTATATTGTCCCAGTTATAATTTGCTATTCTCTTGATTTTTAACAAGAGTCAAATGCTGATTTGAGCTGAAACACATTTTCTAATAAATTGCCGGCCATATTACAATTGCATACAAGTTACATCTGGTGCAAACTTTCTTTGTAAGCTGCACGTGCAGAGCTCCATTGGGGCTGCACACCAGCAGCTGGAGTTGGTACCTGTTTAGTTCCAGTTTTGGCTGGAACCCTGCCCCTACATGTGCCAAAAGGAGTGGGGCTCCCATGCAATGGGGCTGAAAATTAGAGGGAACTGTGATCTGGTGGGATCCTTTTGCTTACAGTAGGCTCCAATAGTACCATAGTCTTAAGTGATTTCTGCTAGCTGATAATCCCTTCTTTTGATACTGTCCCCTCCCATAAATCTACTTCATGGACTTGAAGGGCTTTCAGAACATCATTAAAAAGTGCATAGGCAAACTTCTTTTCCATTTCACTGATGGCAGCCTTGATGGAATCAGAGTTGTCTGACATTAAAGAGTTGTCTGACAAATTGTACATGATCATGTGATAACTGTGTGGTTTTAAAAAACTTTTTAAACAAGTGTTCTCTTTTTATAGGCATTAAAGTCCCATGTCTTCTCCTCAGTCATTTTATTTGAAATGTGAAATATTAGTAAAACCAATCAAAGCATTTGGACATTCTAGAAAATATTTTGGCTTTCTGAGGTTCGTCATTAAATAAATATTGTGTTAATTATGATCATTGTAATCATTACACACTTTCACACACAAGTGCATACCAAAACACAAAGTTTGCATTGGTGTCTGTAAATGATACAGTAAAATCAACTAAGCAGCATTAATTAACACCATTGTGGCACAGAAATTATTTGCTGACCAATTTTGGTTTTGCTTGTCCCAGGCAAGGCCTGAATAATTAAATGAACATGTCTGACTTCTCAGTAACAGGACAAGTGTAAATCTGATCCTCCACTTGTGTGTCCTCATTTGAACTTGCAAACTATGCAGATCTGTAAAGGATTATAACTCTTGCTATAACTAGACCAATATGAGTTCCTATTTTTAGAACCAACCATATCCTTATTTAGCCCTGATGTAATAGCAAGGGTGGTTTTCCACAGATGACTGAAAAAAGTTTAACTTTTCTAAATGTTACATTATGTTTTGCGTAAATTCCACTAGAGTAGTCTTAAATTCAATTCTTTAAACCACAAGTAGAACAATTTAAGATAGCTCAACTGTAATTAATTTCAGATATAATTATGACCTTTTCTGACACTTCAGCAGACTAGCTTTATTCATAACTAGTTAAAACACTCTTATGAAATAATTTTCATACTGCTAGCAGAATGCTTGAAAAAGAGCAAGGATTCATGTTACTTTATACAAGTTAAGAATAAGAGCATCTAAGTGAAAAGAAATTAAAAAGCCTAGGAATATAGGAGGCTGCCATGTCCAAGGTCTAACTATTTGTCCATTGAAACCAGTATTGTCTCCTCTGACTAGTAGTGGGTGCCTAGCATCTCAGGTGATTTTTTTCACATTAACCTACTACCAGATTCTTTTAGCAGGAGATATCTCAAGTTGAATCTGTCCTTGCAAAATGTATGCTCAGCATTGACTTGTGGTAGAAAGATTATAGGTTTCTAGAATTTACTTTGGTGATATCTTTTATAAACTAACCTTGAGATCTGCTGTGCAGAACCTGTTGTAGTAGACATACACTTAGAATGCTAGAAGACTTCTCTGAGCCCAGGAATTGGCGTAGCTTCACTGTACAGTGACATGGTCACTCCTGTTACCCTCAGTGTCCTTTCAGCAGTACAGTTTAGTTGGAACGTAGTTGGCATGTTGCTGCTTAGTGAGTTTGTAGTGGCTGTTGCTAAACAATTGAAAGTCAGAGATCTGTGCCAATCTAGTTTAGACCACCCAAGATCATCCTATGAACTGTCTTCTGAATGTACAGTAGAATCCAAAGCCCTAAACCTATTTTTAAAAGAACTCTCATAATACTTAGTACTGTTTGTACTGCACCATGTTCTGACCAACTGAGCTAATTGGACACATTACACATTTGGATCCCTTTGCAGAAACCTAATTACTGTAGCTGCCTTAGATTTTGGGCATATTCTTCAATGACTAGTTACATGTAAATAATTTTGTCAGCCTTTTGACATGTTTAATATGGAACTGTTTTGTTCTACGGTGCTTTATTCTTCAAATAACGTGATTGCTTATGCCCTGTAAAATAACAATCAAAGCATTTCTTTTTCTTGGTAGTAGTTAGTTTTCTATAAATTTGAATTGGTATTGCTAATTTTTGCAAGGTATAGGAGTGTTCTATAGTGGGCAGAATAGGGCTTAGTAAAAAGGCTTTTAATGGAGAACACTGGCATATTTTTGTTTGTTAATTCTGTTTTAGAAAATAAAGCATTTCAAATGTCTTCTTTGGTCAGATTGCTATGCGTGCAGTGATGCCTGTGAGATTCAATGTTTTATCTTTATCTGGCAACTGAGAGAACTCTTTATGTATATTTATCACATGATTCACTTCATTAGACAAGTGGATCTGGGAAAATAAGCTATCCTCCTAGAAGACTTCAGAGCTCTCATAGAAACTGTTTACTGATGCATATGCTTCCTTGGTCAGGAAACAATAAATTCTTTTGTAGTTAAATGAATGATTCAGGAAGTTCATTCTCCCCTATCCTTCCTTATTCAGGAACACAGACAGGAAGCACCTAAAGAAAGATAGCTGCACAATGAAGCTACAGAGAACTTCTAAAGCTGCAAATCAGTGGACAGCTAGATGTCAAAAAAGCCTTAACATTTGTTCTGACATGCCTGCCATACAGTAACATAGTGTTCATGCAGGCCTGTTTTTTTTTGCTGTTGAGATTTGTATAAGCTGTCCTTGGTACAAAATACAGTACAGTAGTTCCTTAGGTGTATCTGCAGGTACCTTTTAAATTTTGTTCAGAATTATACAATTGATAATGCAGTGGTCTTTTATTTTATAGTTTGTCTGCATATTGTTCTAATCTGGAGCATATTAAATGTCTTTTAAATATTTCATCATTTTGAGTAGGTTTCATTCTTCATATAAATGCAATCTGCTGGGTTATGAATGTCCTTTACATCTAGTGCCTCTCTTGAAGGGCATTATTGCCACATGATTGGTTGCAGTAACACTCCATAAGAAAATATGAGAGACCCACATGTTTTCTGCCTTGGTTGTTGCCAATAGGAAAGCATTCAGGGCTGTCCAAATACATTTTGCAGCCTAAAACTGAGCCCAAATCCCTGCCTGCGCTGCTGCTAAGCCTGACATTAAAATTTTGCTGTACCATCTACACGC